TTCACTAACAAAACATATCTACCAACACAGGATCGTCCTTCAACTTTTTTGTGGAAACCGAAGCGACATCAGCAAAAGGATACTGAAATAAGTGATTAGATTTGGATTTTGGCAAAGCTTGTTTATCCTCTATTACGATCACAGAGAACCCATATACTGTAACAGCTTTTGTAACAATATAACAACCTCTTGTTATATCTTGTTAGAAAATTCAGCTCATCAAAAATTCGCTCTTTGTCACTAACGAGAAATAAATTAGGTTATTTAGAAACAAAAAAACAGCTTTGAGTAATGCCTATTTCGGTATTTATGTCTTCTAATGATAGATATTCTTTCACCCGATAGGTCCCAAGCAAATTTTTTCGTTGACAATCAGATTCAGAAATCGCTAACAACCACTTTTTTGCATACTTCTTTTACAAACTTCATTTGATATGGCTAAATTAACAGAATCTCAACTAAACAAACATAACAGCCAGTATGAAGCCGAACATCAGAAAACAGATCTACAAAAGCATACCAAACAAGTCACACAATACTTAAAAGAGATTCGATAGACTTTAGGTTTAGTTAAAACTATATATGTCCAGGTTTATTTTCACTACATTAACACTCACTTGTTTTAGGTCCAGAAGGCATCGTAGACGTGATCAATGAACGTTTAAACAATGAAGAAATCGGCGTTACGTATAATGAGAAAAACAGTACTTGCAGGCTGGCCATCCTTACTAGTCAAATAATCAAAAGTGATGAACCACTCTCCGTTTTAACAATTCATTTCCACAGTCAGACGAATACAACAGGTAAAAAAAATATACAGTACGAATGATATTTACTAACACGTAAGTTAGATTTTCCAGTGAACGATACATACAGTGAAGGTACCCAAGTTGGGGATGAAGAAAATGAAGACCAAGATGAAGATCAAGATGAGGATCAAGATAAAAAGAATGATGATGAAAAGGAAGTTGAATTCAACATTACCTACCGAATGAAGAAAAGAAAACTAATGTTAAGAAGAATAATGGATGTTAAAAAGATTGCTAAAAAAACCAAAAAAAGAAAGGACGATCATGCTGGAAAAAATAGTTAAACGTCTCGCAGCTACATTTCCTGGCCAACAAGACGACAACAATACTGTAAAACAAATTCAATGTTGTGTGACTCTGTACAACTTGCACTTCCTGACGCAAAGTATGATGAAACTCGATCATTATTGATCTCGAAACAAGATCATCAATCATAGTATGTATCGCCCTTATCACTTACAAACATCCTCCTAACTTCTCAATAGTCCCATATTCGAGGCCATTAAAAAAAACACTTTTCACAGGTGTCAAAACTTTTTTCTCTCTTTCAACAAGGTTCAGCCTTGCGGCTTTCGTAATGTGGGACAAAAGACTACCTAGACAATTTGTAAAAGTAAGTCTATACACATCGCATTTCATTCCTATACTTAAACCTACACAAGGGCTGGTACAAAACCCGAACAGAAGCAGCAACTCTTGCATTTTTTTTCTGCTCAAGATCAAAACAAGTCAGCAACTGTGTTACCAGATTTAACTGATAGATTGCACAACAACCTAGACTTCTTATCTGAATAAACAAAAACCAACTTTTTGAAGCAAATTTTCTTTTCTTTGTTATAGCTTCAAGATCCGAGTCAGTTATTAACGCAACAGTGTTCATCTGTAGCATTTTTCTTTTAGCAATAAAGCTATTTCTGCCGTTGAGTTTCTTTTTGCTTGCATTTCTCGGTCCCTACGATTTTTCATTTCTTCAGTGGAAAACTTGACATCTTCAATTGGAATATTTGGATCTGAATAAATAGTACAAGCGTCAGTTTTTTTAGAACCATATATAACGGACAAAAACTTACAAATATCCTTGTGCAATTCCTTATATTAGAGCTTCAAGTCATCCAAGCTCTTCTTCGAACCAGCAAATTCTTTGTCATCATAGAATTTATCAATCACATGCTTAAGGAGAACAAGTTTGTGAACGTTAACATTTTCTTCTGAGGGAGAAACCGATATGTTATTGTAAATGAGTTTTGTCAATGTGATCTTTTTGGTCATTGCGGCAGCACCATTATTGTTCACCGAAGCACGCACATAAAACTTTCTTTATGAAAAATCAATACGCTTCCCATTCAAAAAATATAACAATAAATACCTTCGATAACCATTTGGTGATTGAAATCTTCTATCAAATGTTTTAGCAGATGTAGACCAACTGTCGGATTGAAAGTAGTAACAGTGTACTTGCCACCATCATCTTTCACCTTCATCTCCACGAACATTCTACCGAAATAATCAACACCAACTTTGGAACGATCATTCAAAAGGGCACAAGTGAGAGTTACAAGAAGCATTTGAGTAAAAATATAGCAAAAAAGACCTAGAAAAAACGAACTGCGCTTTTTAAGCATTACAAAGAATAGAAAATTTGGCTCACGACAACATTTCAGTTTCTATATCAGGTCAAAGACCAATTTAAA